CGGGGCCTGGGGAGCTGAGCCGGGCCCCAGGGGAGGGGGCTGGGGGGCGGAGTCCGGGGGGCCGCCCCACGCACCTGTCTTTTGGTGCCCCGGTGCGGCTGCAACCCGCTTCCTGGGTGCTGTCTACTTCCTCCTTCACATCTCCGTCGTTCCCCTTTTCTTTCCTCAGCTTTCCTTCGTTTTTAACTTGTTTTCCGTTCACTCTCCGGGTATCCAATTCCTTCACTTCCTTTCCTTCGCCTTTCTGGCCTGGGGTCTCTTTGCCGTTTACTCTTAAATGTTTGATAACACGGAGGCATATTGGTGCGGCTCTATATTTGTGTATTCAACCTTTAAATTAATTGCTTACCCGACGTTGCTTCGTTCTAGGTTTTTTTTTCTTCTTATGTGAGTATTACGTATAGGAGTTTGGAAGGGTTTTAAGGCCTCAAGCAGAATATCCTTGACAATAAAGGAAGTTTACAGGGAGACCTGTAAAATGATTATTCTAGTCCTGCTGTTTTAAGAAAATAGTTTCATTCTGTCTTTTTCTGGGTTTAGTACACTGGTCAGCACAAAATATATGGGGTCTGTTGTCACCAGAGTTTTTAAATTCCTTACTGATTGTATTACTTCATTTTTTAAAAAAAAAGTATTGAATTTCAGCCTATGTCGATTTAAAGTGAATAATGGAAATATTAACAGATTTAATAAGTCTTAGCCAGGGCAGTTTGGGGATAAACTAAAGGATAAGTGCCCGCTTTAAACAGAATTCGAGATTACTACAATACTTGGCTGTGAGTTTACCATCGCTAGTTGCACATCCCTTAGTTTAGACAACCTTAGCAGTTATTATCCTGGCCTTGAAATTTAAGGACCTGCATTCTAATCTAAGTAGAGCTGAGAAAAACAATAGGCTTCCTATAATCAAGGTTGGTTTCTATGATTCAGTAGAATTGTTTTAGTGCCAATAAAAATACTGTAGAAATTTTTCCAAATGTTGTTACAATTTCTTTTTTATATTACAAAATTCTTGGCATTGGCTCAGAACTGTGCGTGAAACTATATTATTCCCTGTATGCGTAATATGTTACTGTTTTCTTCCATCTGCCTTGATATTTTCCACAATTGGCATAGCTGAAATTAAAGTCTAACTGAACATCTTTTAAAAAATATGTAAGGGCAGAGCATCTTAGAATTCTATATCTACAGTGAACACCAACTGCTTAATTCATTGCGCAGGAGACCCAGTAATAGCTTTATAAAAATCTGTGTCACTTTGCATCCTAGAGCTTCCAACAAAGATTAAATCATTTATTCATAACTATTATGTTGCTTAAATGTTTAAAAAAAGTACTTAAAATAAATGCTATAAACAAAGAGGATGTGTTACTGCGAAAATTGGGCAAGAAAGTAAGCAAGGGAATTTCCAGAATTTTTTCCATCTCTAAATATACAGACTGGTCCATTTAAGAGTTTAGAATAACAACTGTTACAGTAGTTTTTAATAAGTTGTATTATTATAGAATAAATTCATTAACAAGATATTGTCTATAAAGACAAATATCTATTGAGAAAAAAATAGATATTTCTCCTTTATTTTAAAAAGTGTCGGAAGGAGATTATCAAGATTGGAAATAACAATTTGACATAACAGAATACTTTCTGAATGTTATTTTGAAAGGAAACTTTTGTTTGTATTTTTATGATGACATTTGTCTCCAGGGAAAAAATTAGAAACACTTTTCTGAACATATAATACACTGAAGAGTCTTTTCTAGTTACATGTATTTTATGATGACTTGTAAATCCTATTTTATGTCTGCTCTGTAAGAGCTAAAGGGAGAAAAACCCTGGAGACAGAGCTATGACATGTTTTCAAGTTCATTAAAAATGAACTCTCCATCTAGAATCGGCCCATTGTTTCTTTTTTCGTCTTGCCTCAGGAAAGAACATGGTAAAATAAAACCACTGCCTTCCTGCAATCCCCATTAACTTTACTGGGTAAATGAATTATTATCTCCTTTTTCAGAGTATAAAGAGACTTTCTTTATTCTTCATCAATAGTATTGAAAATTGCTAATGTTCATTTTTTTCTTGTAATGGAAAATTTAAAGTACTGACTTTCTTAAAAGCATGTTTTTCTGAATTTTAAACTCTATCAAGTAGCAACAATGCCTTGAATTTGGTCCCTACCCTCATTATGGTATGGTGAAAATAAAATAAGAATAGAGATAGAAAAGAAAAACGAGGAAAAGAAAAGGACTTTACAAAAAAAATTGGCATTACTTTGTCTTTAGAATCTTATGAAGATTAAGGGGGATGTTGATGGGTATGAATGAAATAGAATCAATTTAAAGAACATTCATTAGACCCTACAGTACACCTGGAACTGTGGTAGGCACAGAGAAGAAAGAAAGAGGGGGAAGAGAGAGAGAGAGAGAGAGAGAGAGAAGGAGGGGAGAGAAAGCGGGGGGAGAGAGAGAGAAAGAAAAGAAAGTAAGAAAGAAAAGCAAAGAAAGAAAGGGAAAGAGAAAGAAAGAAAGGGAAAGGGAAAGAAAGAAAGGGAAAGAGAAAGAAAGAAAGGGAAAGAGAAAGGGAAGGAAAGAAAGGGAAAGAGAAAGAAAGGCAGAGGGAAAGAAAGAAAAAGAAAGAAAGGGAAAGGGAAAGAAAGAAAGGGAAAGGGAAAGAAAGAAAGGGAAAGAGAAAGGAAGGAAGGGAAAGAGAAAGGAAGGAAGGGAAAGAGAAAGGAAGGAAGGAAGAAGAAAGAAAGAGAGAGAAAGAAAGAGAAAGAAAGAGAAAGAAAGAAAGAAATTGCTGTCTTAAAGTGGCTTATGTCTGGTTATAAAAATAAGATAAACATGAAACCACCAGCTAGCAATGCTAGCCTTTGTAGCACCTACTCTAAGCCAACCATCATGTTGAGTATTAGGAAACATGGATAAATAAGCAATAACAGCTCATGTTTAATGAATAAGCACTATGTGCTAGTCCTCTGCTAACCACTTTTCATGGATTATCTCATTTAATCTTCACAACAATCCTATCAGTAGATACTATTATCCTATGGGTAAACTGAGAATTAGGAAGGTTAAATAACTTGCCCAAGGTCAAATAACTAGAAGGCATTGTGGTGGAGATGAGATTTGAACCAAAGTGATTTAACTTCAGAACCAATGGATTTAATCACTATATTGCTTCCCAAAATTCTTGACTTTCAGGAATTCACAGTCTTTTTGGGGAAGAGGGAACCCTGTAGATACATAATTATAAGAGAATACATTGAGAGCATTCTGAGAGCTGTTAACATCCTTGCTGGATAATGAGAGAGCCCACCAGGTCTGCAAGTCAGAGAAGCTTCACAAAGATGGTCACATTTGAGCAGGGTCTTGAAGGATGAGCAGGATTTATTAGAACTGGGGGGCAGAGCATCCTAAGTGTAATAAAGTAAAATCATTAAGGACTGGGGTTATTAAGGGAAAACATTTGGGAAGGGAAGGGTTTTACGCCAAACTTACCGGAAGTATGTAAGATTTAAATTGAAGTGCAAGAGATGTTCGGAGGTGGGCACATTCCAATTGAACACAGTATTCCCTTTACTTGGAATGCTGCTCCTGCCCCTTTTCTGCCTATCCAATTTTATTCATCCTCCAAGACTAGATTCCTGTCAATTCCTTTGTAAAGCTTCCCAAGCTATCTATGTGGCCAGTGGGCAAATTATTTAACCTCTGAGTATGAGGAACTTCATCCTAACATCTGTCTCAAAGGATAGTCATAAAGATTAGGAATAAATGTATCTGTCAGTTTCTTGGCATATAGTAGGTGCTCAATATTTAAATATGCAAAAAAGCCAGGATTGGCTTGGTATTTAGAAGGAGGCTGAGCTCTAGGGTGCTTTGAACTGAAGGGCCCTTCTGTAAGAGCTTCTGAACCTCCTCACTGATGTTTCCCTTAAATCATACCTACGTGTCTAGTATTCTTGAAGCTAAAAAAGGTCTTTTTGCTTTATATATTAAATTTCATGTACCTTGTACATAATGTTTGTTGTCTTTCTCTCCCACTCATCCTTAAGCTCCTTAAAGGGCAGAAGACCTTGTAGTTTTGTTCTGTACACTGTTTTATACTGAGCAAAATGCCAGACAAATAGTGTGCAACTAATATATAGTTGTTCGATGAATGAATGATGGGTGCTTTAAAAACATTTGTTGTATGAATGAATGATGTTCTTTCTGGCCTTCGCTGTTCACAGTCTTTAGCTTTAAGTTCCTAGGATACAAATAGAAAATAGACTAAGGCAGAGAATTTGTTTGCTTTCTATTCTTTTCAAAACAAAAGTGCAAAAGTATTAAGGTTTCTTAAGTGTGATGACATGAACATACAGTGACATCTGGTGGTTGCCTGTTAGACAATGTTTGTTGAAGAAATACGGAATACGAAGTCTGTAAGAAACTAAGACTCCTAGACATAACAAGACAAGAACGATGAATTAAAGTAGTAAAAAATAAAGAGAAAACATATTTTAAATCTCTACCCTAGAAAAGTTTTAAAAAATGCCGGTTGTGCGTTTTCAATCCACTGGACTTTTAAAAGAAAAGGTAGATTCTTGAAGATTGAATGGTTTTTACGAAAATTGCAACACAGTGAGTTGGTGGCAGGAAGAACAAATTGATTCATACGCCTCTGAAGAAAGATCCTGGCTTGAGTTAAGACGCAACTTTATAGAGGAAAATAAGACGACTCAAAAGTTTCCGTATTTTGCAAAGTCTTCCGGGTTAGAGGAAGAACTTATTCACAAGGCAGAACATCTTTAACGGTCTCCCGAAAATTTCTAAGGGAGAGTGAGTGAGTAGCCGCAGAGACAGCAGAATACTCAGTGGATAAGAAATATTTCGCGATCTCACTGCCCCGGAAAGAAGCAACTGTGCGCGATCCACGCGGACTGGACCGATCGCACGCTCGGCCGCAGATTGGTCGAGCCTGCCCGGGCTGCGTTGGGGGGGAAAAAGAGGAAGCGTGCTTTTTCAAACTCGCCGACCCAACGTCGATGGACGCAGGCCACTTCCGGCGTAGCCATGGCTGCTAACGCTACCACTAACCCGTCGCAGCTGCTGCCTCTAGGTAATAGTTGCCCTGTGGGGCGCGCGGGCGGGGAGCTGAAGCTTAGGGTTGGGGCCCCAGGGGCTGCGGGGGAGGCTGCCCGTGTGAGAGCGTTAGGAAAATGTATCGGACCAACTGCTTTCCTTCTCCGCGGCTCGTCTCTGGTTTTAAGTCTTTGCGCCCTCAGGCCGCCCATGTCTCCTCAGCGTGGTAGGATTCCTTGAGGCAGGGACTTGTGACTCCCCAAACCAAACCGCCACTGGAAAAGGTTCACACTTAGTGAATGCGTCGCCAGCCGCCTCCGTTGTGAGCTCACCTCTATAGTCATGGGATTCAGTCCCGTTCCTCAACCTGGCATGTAAGCTCCCCAGATTGCACCCTGTCCTGTAGCTGGCCAGTTACTGCGAGAAGCACCGGGGTCTGGAATGAGCCTTAAAAGAAGAATCTGGGGGCAAGCCCGGTGGCGGTGGCCTAGTGGTTAAGTTCACACGCGGCGCTTTGGCGGCCTGAGCGTCTCCAGGTTGGAATCCCAGGCGTGGACCCACGCACTGCTCATCAAGCCATGCTGTGGCTGTGTGCCACATACAAAATAGAGGAAGATGAGCACAGATGTTAGCTCAGAGCCAATCTTCCTCAGCAAAAGAAGGAGGATTGGCAAGGGATCTTAGCTCAGGGCCAGTCTTCCTCACAAAAAAAAAAAAAAAAGAATCTGGAACTAGCTCTATTTGTCATTCATTCATTCAGCAGTTATTGAGCATCTATGCACCAGACAATGTGGCCCGGCACTAGTCCACAAAATTTGTGTGTGTGTGAGAGAGAGAGAGAGAGGAAGATTAGCCCTGAGCTAACATCGGATGCCAATCCTTCTCTTTTTTTGCTAAGCAAGATTGGCCCTGGGCTGACATCCTTGTGCATCTTCCTCTATTTTATGTGGGACTCTGCCACAGCGTGACTTGACAAGCACTGCATCCTCTGTGCCAGGGATCCAAACCCACGAACACAGCCCCCCCCCGCGCCTCCCGCAGCCAGAAGGGAGCACGCAAACTTAACCATTAGGCCACTGGGTAGGCCCCGCTATTCAACAAATTTAAATCACGGCCATTGCCTGCAAATAGCACACAAACCAATGGAGGAGCTAGGATGCTGGACAAATAAACATCATACCAAATAACGCTAAGCCCGGTAAAGAGATGTTCGAGCTGCTATCAGAGTACAGAGGATAGACTTCTTAGGGTGAGGGAGGTAGTGACAAGAAGGAATCTCTGGTGAAGACAGTTATGCCTGTCTCTTCCTACGATTTTGTAGCTGAAGAGTGATTTAGTTAGTGGATGTGGCCGTGATTGAAAAGTTTTTTCCTTCATTCGACAAACTTTTTGAATGCCCAGCATATGCCAGGCACTGTCCATTGAGGGTAGAATGATCTGCCCTCATGGGGCTAAGAGTCTAGAGGGGTTCATATGTTAATCAAATAATCTAAAATAATATAAAACCACAGCCATGATAAATTGCTACAAAAGGGAAGTGGAGAACAGGGAGAGCTTTTTTGTTAATGTAGAGGTATATAGTATAAGATCTAAAGCTTTTGAATGAATTCTTTTCCTGGTTTGTATTTCACCATATACAAGTAATAAGTTCTGGTAGGCACTCAGATATTTGTGGAAGTAATGCATTGGTAAAATAATCTTGTTCCTCTCCCTCCCTTTTTTTTCTTTTAAAAAATATATCCATAGAACTTGTGGACAAGTGTATAGGATCAAGAATTCACATTGTGATGAAGAGTGATAAGGAAATTGTTGGCACGCTTCTAGGATTTGATGACTTTGTCAGTATCCTTTTAAAAGGTGGTGGTGGTATGGGTTTTTCTTCAGTATTTAAGAACAGAAGAACTATAGACAGTCACTATTTACTGATTATTATAATAAAAATTAATTTGGGACCTGCTGGTGGCATAGTGGTTAAGGTCATGCGCTCTGCTTTGGCAGCCCGGGTTCGAGGCGGATCCCAGGTGCTGCCTGACGCACCGCTTGTCAAGCGATGCTTTGGCGGTGTCACATATAAAGTAGAGGAAGATGGGCACGGATGTTAGCCCAGGGCCAGTCTTCCTCAGCAAAAAGAGGGGAATTGGCAATGGATGTTAGCTCAGGGCTCATCTTCCTCACCCACACCCACAAAAAAATTAATTCTCAGGGATGTTGTGATAGTGTTTTAAAAGTTGTTTGTGCTGGAGGAAGATTAAGTTCCTACCAATCACAAGCATTTTGAATTTGAGTCATTGTGTTAAACGTTATAAGTAAAACTGAACAGAGGTAGAAGCCAGAGTAAATTCAACCTGGTATATTTATTTTCTTAACAGAGAATTTCAGATATGGTACTGGAAGATGTCACTGAGTTGTGAGTAGTGTTAAAAATTAAAGAATGGGGAGGGAGGATCTCTCAGTTTTTAATTTAAGGCAATTTTAGTACTGTTGAGTCAGTAAAATGATATATGCGAAAACATTGCCTGTTGAAATTACCTTAAAATAGAAATTTTATCCACTGACGCTAGTGATTGGATCGGAGGGTTATTACCTCAATGTAATTATTACTAAATTGGTGGGAAATTAGTGGAGACAAAACTTTAAGGTTAAAGATACTTAAAAACAGCCAGGAATCTTAGGGCTCAGGTCACATCAAGGAACTGATAATAAGAACATGTAATGCTTTTGATTAAATTAATTGCTTAAATTATTAAATTAATTGATTAAATTATATTGATTATAATCGACCATTATTTCCGCTTTCAGAATTGAATTGAATACAGATTGGTTTAATGGGTAGGAATCAGTAGTAAGTAATAGTAACAAGAGTGAGGATAGTAAACATTTCTTATTTGATCTCCTTGGCAAGTCAGCTTTTATGAAGATCAGCCTAGTGCATGTGAATCTTAGGCCAGTCAGTCCACTCTGTTGCCTTTGGGGAAGAATGTACATCACCCACTGGATAACCTTTGTCTCTGAAAACTGTTGATATAATTGACTGACCTCACATTCATTTATATATAATAATTAACTTTTTTAGGGATCAAAATGTTGGCTCCTATTATCACTGCTTATCCTGACTCTATTTTATCTATTCATTTAGTGAAATCACACCAGAAGGAAGAAGGATTACTAAATTAGATCAGATTTTGCTAAATGGAAATAATATAACAATGGTAAGACACAGTAAAGCTGTTTTATTTAGCTATTAAACCATTTTTGAGGGGCACGGCTTACAGAACTAACTTGTTTGACTAAATGTTCATGGCCCAGTGGTGCTTCAGATGGGAAAGGGGTGCTCTGGTGGTAACAGGCCCTAAAGCTGAGCTGTTGAAGATGGCATTGGGCCTAAAGATTAGTTTGCGCTTTTTAATATTTTATTTTTTTCATTGTTGAGACACTAAATATTAATTGATGATGTTGGAATTGTAAACAGCAGTGACATGGAGAAAATGGGGATATGAGGGAGGGGCAGAGGGCCAAAAGTGGCTTTGGTGGATGAGAAGCTCTCAGCAGGGGTTTTTAGATGATGTAGTGGTCGTGTTATTAAACTTTTTCCTTCTTTGCAGCTGGTTCCTGGAGGAGAAGGCCCTGAAGTATGAATGGATTTCCTTGACACATGCTAGATTCTGTTTTGTCTCGTAATGACAACAAAATAGACATTTTTTTTTAACCTTTTAATATTTGGATTCTGTGAAACTAAGTTTCCCGTTAAAGGGAAGTGCTTTGAAGATGCATTGTAAATGCCCATTTTTAAGTTAATCATGATTATCTTGGAAAAAGAAGAACAGTTTGTTCTTTGAAGACTAAAATAAAGGTGTTTTTGGTTAACTCTCAATTTATTTATTATACTGCAATATCTAGTGGAACAAAGCCTGTAGTTATTTTGTCACTTGCTTTCCTGTCATTTTATTCCTGTTTGCTTCCTCATTTACTTCACCGTTTGATTCTCAAACAAAAATTGTTCCAAACAAAATGATGAACTTTGATTTTGAACAAGTGCTTTTAAAATACCTGAAATGATTACGTACAAAATTCAATTCAAGCTCTGATGCTTTGATAATTTTATTTATTTATTTATTTTTCCCCCCAGAGCCCCAGTAGATAGTTGTATGTCATAGCTGCTCATCCTTCTAGTTGCTGTATGTGGGACGCGGCCTCAGCATGGCCGGAGAAGCGGTGCATTGGTGCGCGCCCAGGAGCCGAACCTGGGCCGCCAGGAGCGTGCGCACTTAACCGCTAAGCCACGGGGCCGGCCCAAACTCTGATGCTTTGAAATGAGGATTTTTCTGCTGAACTCAAGTTCCATTAACTCTTGTTAAAAACAAACAAGCGGAATACATGGGTAATATATGCACATTGTAGAAATACAGATAATTAAAAAGGAAAATATTCATCACACTTTGCTGTATATCCTCTTAGACTTTCTCAGTACACTTTCAGTATGCATTTTATTTTTACAAAACTGACTCATCCTGAATATACTGTTTTGTAGCCTCCATTTAAGACTTTTTTGAGTTTGAGTGGTAAACATCTTTCCATGTCACATATTTCAGCAACATTAATATGTGCATAGTATTTCATTAAATGGATTTATCATAACTTATTTAGCCTATTCTTAGTATTGGCCACAGTAAGTCCAACTAAATCTTGATACATTTTTATTTTTCTTAGAATAAATTCATAAACGTGTAAGGTCAATTATATTGTCATGTTGCCAACAAAAAATTTGTACCAACCTACACTTTTGCCAGCAGTTTTTCATGGTACCCTTTACATAGTTACCAACATTGGCTATGTTCTATCTTCTCCTCTCTGCCATTGTGATAGGCAAAACCTGGTATGTTTAAAATTTTCTTTATTAATTTTGAACTCATTTGTATTTTGTGAATTACTTTTATGAGGCTTTTGCCATTGAGATCTCTTTTTTGTACTAATTTGTAAGAATTCTAAATAGGTTACTCTTGTACTTTGCAGATAACTTCCCCAGTTTGTTGTTTGCCTTTTAGTGGTACGTTTTTTTGACATAAATAATGTATTTTTATATGGTCATATGTTGGTCTCTTCCTTTATGGTTTTTTGTCTGTGGTACATATGGATTAGAAAGACCTTTGCTCTGATTGTATGTTTTTCTTGGTACTTTATATTTTCTTTATTTCATTTAAATCTTGAATCCATCTTCAATTTTAGTGTTTCCACGTGAAAAAAGGGCCAAACTTTATTTTCCAAAAAACAAGCACTGATTTATGGTATTTTTTGATTTTTGTGGTGTAAATACTCCTACTGTGGCTGGTTTCAAGCTGCTGAGAGTTTAAGAGCTGGCTTGCAAACTTCCCAAAGGTTTTAACAGTTGGTTCTCAGGAGCCAGTAGGAGCCTGTTGCCCCATATCACTGCCTCTGACCCTTGTTGGGTTGGTGGAGGAATGCTTTCCCTCCTGTTTCTTTCCCTTTGGAGGGAGGTAAAATGATGTCATAATACTGCACTTTTTCTACCCTTTTACTCGTTATCCTATGGGAGCTGGGTGGTCATGCTCAGCTCTTACTTTTTTCCTGCTAGGAGTTAGTAGCCTGCAGGGAGCACATGTTCTTAATTCCAACATGCTATGAGTTTTAGAGGAGCCTGACCTCACTTAGGGAGGCATACAGTTATCTAGTCTGTGGCTAGGTGGATGAGTTTACTCTGGGGATCAGTAATAGGAAGCTCACTTGCCTACAGATAAACTGTCTCAATCTGGTCTTTAGCAGTAATAAAAATGATGCTATGATTCCCATCTGCTTACACTTTTGTCTTATATCACAATTCATTTAGAATGGGTACTATTCTAAATAAAGGTTTCTTAACCTTGGCACTATTGACATTTTTGTCTGGATAATTCTTAGTTTTGTGGGCTCTCCTGTGCACTGTAGAATGTTTAGCAGCATCCCTGGCCTCTAACCACTAGATGCCGGAAGCGTCACCATCTATTGCCAAATGTTCCCTGAGGGCAAAACAATCTGCGCCCCCCCCCCCCGCCCCGTGGTTGAGAACCAGTGTTCTAAATAATAGGGGTGCTATTTATTGGACTTTCTAAAATCTCCTAATATTTGGTATGTGGGCGAGGAGCACTGGATCTGGACAATGAGTAAAAATCGGGGAGAAAATGCTGTGATTGAGGATTCCGGCAGGGTAAAATGGGTAGTTTTAAGCTGAAATGATGTATTAGGTACTAACCATGGAGGATGTTCACTTTGGCAGATTGCTGGTGAGTGGCTGTTCTTATAGAGGTGTTTCATTTCTGTAGAAGCAGGGCTGTATGTGCTGGGCCCTGAAGTGAAGGTGAGACCTCAGCAAAAATGAGAGCAGAAAAGGCAAAAGCTATGCTGGTATTGGTGACTTGGTCAGTTTTTCTCAAACTTTGGTTTGAAAACTGGTATCAGAATCACTTGGAGAGCTACTAAAGAACGCAGAGGCCCAGGCTCATTGAAGTAGGATAGGACCTTGGGCCTTCATATTTTTATCAAGTTCCCAAGTTCCCCAGGTAATTCCGTTCCTTACCAAAGCCTGAGAGCCACTGCCTTAGAGTGTAGGCTGCTGCAGGTGTAGCTTTTTAAAGTAGGTGTGCTGTAGAGCACTAGTGGAGTTCTAGTTTAAATTGTTAGTGCCAGGCCTTGGCAGGGAATGATGCATCTCCTGCCCTGAATCCAGACTTCAGTGTGGACCAAGGAGGGACCCATTGTGGGGCAACCTTGGATTCACTTGGCTTGTCCATAGGCTTGAGAGTCACTTCCCATCAATGTAGTCTCAATTTTCTTCTTGAGGCTTGATTTGTTGATTACACAAATTGTAATCATGTCTTTAGATTTCAGGGTCCAAAATTGCACCTTCACCCATAGAGATATGTTAGATTTTTGTCAGTAAAGAAAAAAATGTGGGCCCTTATTGTAAAGAGAATATGCCATCTTCTAGCATTGAAGGTGAGGAAAATCGCGGTGAAATTATTGTAAACCAAAGGAGGAAAGGCCTGTGCTTGGGGCATTTTATTTTTCAAATCTTATTTTCTAACAATTTCACGTTTACTGAAGAAGAGTTGCAAGAATATCAGAAAGAGCTCTTACATCCCCTCACTCAGACCCCACTCAAGTTTTTTGCTTCAGCAGTGTCCACAGCAAAAGGATCCAGTCCTGGGTCATGTGCTATACTCAGTTGTCGTATGTCTCTAGTCTCCAATCTGAAACAGTTCTTCAGTCTTCCGTTGACTGTCATGACCCCAACATTTCTGAAGATTGCAGATTAGCCCTTGTAGAATGTCCCTCAATTTGGGTTTGTTTGGTGTTTCCCCATGAGTAGGCTGGAGTATGCATTTCTGGCAGGTGTATCACAAGAGTAAAGCTATTCCTCCCAATGTGTCTCATCAGGTGGCACATAATATTGACTAGTTCCATTTCTGATGGTGTCAACTTTAAGTTTTGATGGATGATGTTCAGTAGCAGTTTCTGTTCAGCAGTCTGCTGGTGTGATTCTTCAGTTGAAACAAACGTAGAAAGCAGAAATTTTGCCTAGGAAGGAGATTGCCCAGGGTTAAGCCACTTTATAAGCAACGAAAGCAGAAACTGTGCAACAGGACTGGACTAATATTCCTGTTCCTGAGTGAGTGAGGTCATGTCACTGGACAGAGCACACCTTAATGCAGCACCAAGGTGCCCCAAACTCAAAGTCATTTCCAAGGGTACATAGAAATTACGAGGTTTAAAATATGTTGGATGAGAAAGAAAGGCTGTCTCAAATAAGACCTGGTGACTGGGTCTGCCACCTGTGCAAATTTCTCAACACTGCAAGAAGACAGTGTTATTGCGTATGCCAATTGCTGAGAAAGAGGGGAGACTGTTATCACACATGGAATTTCCCCCAGATAGGGCAACATAGTGCCATAATTAGCCTCTTAAGGTAACTAACCAGCTGAATTAAGTAAGCGATCCAGTGGAAATTCTCAGGTCACAGATTCCGAACAATTGGCAGAGACTGACTGGCATCCTGGCAAGGCCTAAACCTTCACTTAGCTACTTCTGAGTCTCTGCTATGGTCTTGGGCACTGCTGAGTTTTAGCTTATAAGGATATAATTTTACCTAAGAGAACCACTTTAGGGGCTGGTGGATGCACAACTTCGTGAATATACTAAAAACCACTGAACTGTACATTTTATTTTTTATTTGGTGAGGAAGATTTGCTCTGCGCTAACATCTGTTGCCAGTCTTCCTCTTTTTTTGCTTGAGGAAGATTAGCCCTGAGCTAACATCTGTGGCTTCCTTCCTGTATGTGGGTCACCACTCATCAGCCATGCTGTGGTGGACCTGGGTAGGTCCGTGCCTGGGATCCTAACCCAGGAACCTGGGCCCCTGAAGTGGAGCGTGCCCGACTTAACCACTATGCCACGGGGCCAGCCCCTGAACTGTACATTTTAAAAGGGTGGATTTTATGGTACATGAATTATATCTCAACTTTTAAAAAAGTGAGACCTATTTGAATCATATCTAATGTAACTTCTGAGGCTTTAAAAGAAACACTGACTTCTCTATAAGTGACAATCCGAGCTGCGGCTGCTGAAAGGACCCTACCTTCACCCAAGCATCAAAGTCCCCTGTGGTTAAGATTGAACAGAAGAATCTGGGGAAGATTGTTTTTGACCTGGATTTTGGTCTTCTAACTCACAAAGACAAGGTCTTTAGTTTCGGATTTTAATTGTAGTGGACTTAAAGATTTTTGAATTTTGATTTGCAAGGAGATTTAATTTTTGAACCTTAGTTTCTCCCTGTAAATTTGATAATAGGAGGGGATGATATTTAAATTTGGGCAGCTCTAA